TTAAAGAGAGGAGGTGTTAATGAAGTACAAAGCAGACACGCACAAAACCTTTACAGTAAAGGCCTACCTAAACAGCTATCTCTACACTTACTCTCAAATGTTTAATTCCATAACATTCTTTACTTCCATCACAAGACATGCTACACTGCTATGTATGATTACATGTTATTAATTGAATAAATGGGCTTTCATAAGACTTCACTTTGCATATTTATGCTGTAATGGGCTTCTATTGAGTCATCAATACTCCACACCTTTCTTGCAACACATACTGCATACTGGTCATCCACACACATTTATATATTTATATAAATGACTAATGTTCCAATTGTTTCAGCATTTCAATATACTGTACATTTATTTGTCTTATCATCTTTGGGGCCTAAACATGTCAACTCCTATTTTATGACATGGGTTAAATTTGCATTGTACTCTACGATGACGAGTATCACACACCACCAAATTGCTTTTACTACACCACAGGACTTTTATTGTTACCTTTTATTGTTCACATTTTTTTCCATATAACATGGGAATGGAGTATACTTTCACAGTGAATTGATGTGGTGTGATAGAACACAGTAATAATCGTGTATTTTTTTGCAAAACATTAAAATTTTAAGATGAATAATTCAAACCAGAAGGAGGCAAACAGTATCCAACAGTATCCTGATAATTCTGACTTCAAGTGTCTTGATACATTACAATGTGAAAATGTATGCATTAGATCATCTTACGTGATTCAAGAAAAACTTGTACAATAATACAATTCATTGCTAACACTTCACCAATATTCATATAAATAATGTCAAAACTTGAACACAGCAACACTTGCTTTTATATAGTAAACATTCTAAATGTGTTGATAATAGCATTTTATATAACTTCTGCTCAAGCGTCTGACAGAAATCTCTTCTAATTTTCATAATCTTGAGGTATAATTGCATTAAATTGATGCAGCATTATTCTGAAGTAGACAATTCTGACACCCCTCTGCTTATTACATTTTTTTTCTAAATTAGGGCTTTTAAACTCATTTAACTTCATGTGAATAAAAGTTAACATCATAAGCGATGTCAGCTGCTGCCTAGACATTTTTGTTCAAAAAACATTTTAAATGTTAATACTCTGAACTTGCCATGAGGATTGTAATGATGTACATCCAAAGACCTTAATCACTCAGAAAAACCTGGAAAATTATACCTGCTTGTCATCCATATCGAGTATCTATTACTCGTGGACATAGCACATTAACTGACTCATTATCTATTTCAAACCATATGGACTTAGGTTTGGGTGGGTCATTCTGATGCTATCCTAAGGTGATCTGCCTAATTATTACAATTATGCAATCTCAGTCGTGGGGCCAGTTATAGAAAATGGTGCCGTGGCCTTTCCAAATTGGTGTCAATATACCCAGACAATGACTGAAATGGGTGATGTGCCCTGTAGCTGTTACAAATCCCTAGGTGCTAACATGGTAATTACTTGAAAAAGTTTTGAGAAAGTGCAAATACCTAAAGCTGTGGGATACTTTGCATAATTAGCCTCGAACTACAGTGTGACTTTTTAACCTTTTTATTTGAAAACAAAGTGAAAATCTACAGAATATAGAGGACATTCAGTGTACCGTTAATGACATTTCTGATGAGAATCATAATCATATTAAAGCCATAAAATTATTTTCTATAAATTGTTGCTACCCTGCAAATGTGTTTTATTTGTAAAACTGAAAATATCTATTTCAGTTCTGAAATTTCCTCTAATGCCTAAGTGTGATATTGGAGGGTCTTACCTATGTTTGTTGCAAAATTAATATTGTGTTTACACATGAACATTTTTTTGGTCACTATTTCCATCAACCTTGAACAAGAACTTGTTTAAATAACTCTGTGCATCAAAAAGTGCATTGTGTTGCTATGAAAGTGAAAGGCTATTCTCTCAAATTTTAACATGAGAACAAATCTTAATTGTTGCTATTAGATATATACTCTATGCATTTGTCATGTAGGTTTTTCTCATATTGAAGCCGTTTTTGTTCCTCCTTTACCAAATATGGAGCAGATTGTACTGTGGTGAAGAGTCCTTAAATTAGGCCCTTAGGAGACCAGTAGATCAATATATACCCTGCAGGTAAGTGCATTTGTCCCAGAAAGTAAGTAAATAACTGTTTTGCTTTCTCTTAAAAACAATAACAATTTCCCATAAATGAAAGCAATAAGGTAGCCATTATTAAAAATAACATTCATTCAAACATTTTGTTTGGTTAGAATAGGAAAAAAAATATTGTTGTTAGCTTTAACCAAATAGAAAGGATAAAATCACAAGCTATATTGTTTATACAAATAAACACCTGTGATTACGTGTATCCCAGGTGTTAAAATACTTGGAACCTAAAGAACATAATAATAATAATAATAATAATAATAATAATAATAATAATAATAATAATAATAGCTTACAATGGAGCATCCACCTGGGGTACACATTACCTATTGACCTATTGAAGCAACTGTGTTAGAATGTAATTGACAAGCATTTTATTTAAATATAAAATCATGTGATTAATATTATGTAGCCCATTTAAAGATACTGATAAAAAATCAGAATCAATGCTATATGTGAAAAAGACTGAACTGACCATATATAAGAAGAAAATGTTCTGCTCTTGCCCTCATACAAGCACCTGTGGATCCTGGATTAGTAGGACATATATAACTCAGTGGTTATTTGTATCCAAGTGTGAGCATGTTGACTTTCCTCCTTTTGTACCACATGCAGAGAATTTTCAGAAAGTGGTTTATCACCAATCGATCAACTCTCAGCATTCAACACTCCCTCCATTGACTGTGGCAAGCTCATTTGTTATCAATTTCCAGATACTGCCAGCACCACGCTTGAGTCTAAGCTTGTGAAACATCAAGCAATGTGAGCTGGGATTTACAAATAATGAGAAAAACTCCTTTTTATGAATGAACACTTGTACAAGCACTTTAACTCTCAGTACCATTGGTCTAAAACACATTTACTGTATATGTAAAACACAATATACATCATTATTTGCTTTATCTGCATACCTTTCTATAGACAGCAACAGTTTTGCTAGACATTTTTCAAACATAAACAAGACCATTCATATCCTGTGTAAGACCCCAGTGTCTGTTGATATTACAAAAATAAAAACCTGTTCTTACAGGACTATTCTTTTCATTGTATTTACTTCTGTATTTTTTGTGGTTGCATTTTTTGTGACTGAGAGATCTTAGCTTGTATTCAATGATAGTGACATCTTAGATTAAATCCTACAGTATATACTGTGCTAAAACTATTTACTGGGTAGACATACAGTACAGTAGGATACATATACTGTATATTTATGTACTGACACCGATAGAATGGATCGAAAACAAATGCCACTGAGGTACTGGGGATATGTTATCTACAGTACTAATATGAAGCTTTGTTGTGCTGTTCTGTGTTCTGTATGAAGGAGAGGAACTGATGTGCAATAAAGCAGAGAGGATGAGCATTTGAGTGATGTGCCCATGTTTCTGGATCTCAAAACAAACTGAAACTGAATGAGAAAAAAATGGCATGAGATGCAAACGTATGAACGAAGAACGAAGTTTAATTACTTTTGGTTGGAACTATTTAATGAAACATAACCAGTTTAATCTCCTGCTGTGAGACATCAGAGACACAAGGCTGAGGTGAAACAGGCTACAGTATGCCGTTAGGCAATGGAAATATGCAAAATCACTTCTGCTTGTTAAAACCTAATCTGAAGACATCTGTTCCCTGCCTTCCTCTTAACCTGCTATTTTCCTGATAACCATGGTGATATGTGAATCTTGCATACCTACCTCTCTCTGTTCTTATTTCTCTATTTAGGGAGCTGTCTTTTTGTATTTTAAAATTGTTTGGCATTGTTCACATTCTTGAAGATTTTCCTTTGCTTCATTCAGCTGAAATGGAAAGTTTACCTTGAAAAATACTTTCAATAAAATAATCAAAACTGTCAAGCTTAATAACTGTTTTGTTGATTTGGCCTCAGGTACCAATTTAAAGAAACCACAAACACAGAAGAAAATGATGTGATAACTAGAAAATTGCAAAAGGTTTTGAAGACATCTGAGAGTCCCATTCTCATGAAATACAATTGCAAAGCAAGAATTGGGCAGTAGGGCTGCTATGCTCTACATCTGGCAAACAAAAAATGTAGAAAAAAACACCTTCACTAGCATAAATACCATTAAAGTTAAGTAAAATCCCTTGTTATGAAATACTGAAGCAAACCAATGTGCAGGTGGCAGAAAGATTTCTGTACTATTGGCAATGTTCATTCACAAGTGCTCTGGATGATACCTGCAGATTTTAAAGTTGATGTGTTACCCTGTGTTCGACAATCCGCGGTTTGAATGTTGAATAAAACCACCAACGGTGGTAAGGCGTCTATGATAGTTTACAAAGACGCACCTCTTTATAATATTGTAATTGCATTTTCCCCAGAGCGATACCAATTACTTTTAGGCTTCTTAGAATTGGCTTAACAGGCTTTGGACAGTAGCAGTTTGTACTTCAGGTTGCATATGAAGATAGCAACAACTGCGCCAGTGAAATAACTATCGTAGTTTGCGCTGAAACGCCATTTAGCAAAAATGTCACTGTAACTGAAGGATATCTACGAAGTATGGAATTACTTGGTTTAAACAGTTTTCGAGCAGGTGCACTGTGTGCTTCGGGCCACGATTCCCCAAGCAGGTTATGTAGAAAGGAATATTACCGTAAAACATGTTAGGCGTAAATCAAAAGATTTTGGAGCAACAGTTCCTAAGACGTTTTTCACAATGGTTTTCCAACATGTAACATGTATGAGTATATTACTATTTAATGTCTTCATTTCTAATACAAATAAAAAATTGGAACACCTATTAGGTACTTAAAAAATAAATTATACATACACAATAAACTGAAATCATGATAAGGCGTTTGTTCTCTACCTTTTTAATGTCCAGTGGTACTGTAGGTCATAAAAAGCACTGCCCCCAGTACCATATTGCCATACAGTATGCTCTCCTGGTTTTTCTGTGACTCCTACCTCAAATACATTAGTATAGAGATTCTTACTCGTCTCCAAGTCCCCCTAGTGATGAAAGATAAATCAGCTCAAGTCAAGAGGTGAACCATTTGAGGTCCTGCCTCAAAAGGTCCTGCCTGCATCAAACACTAATCTTAAACGACGGGGGAGTTCCAATTGCTCCTATTTCCACAGTTTTGTTCCCCCAATTCTCCCCATGAGATTTTCAGCTTCCATTTTTCCAGAATTTTGGCAACAGAGCAAAGTACGTTTTATTACAGTATGTTCTCAAAATTGCTTCTTATTCCCTCCTCTAGTGAGCTCTGATTGGACATCTCTTGTATCACCCTGACGCTTCGGACATTTCATTGGTTATCTCTGTGACAATCATGTACACTGGCGCTTCCAGGAAGCTCTCTTCGCAGTGAGTGTTGTCCAGGTGAGGTATATAAAGCACATTTATGATTTCGTAGCATCGATATAATAAATTGGTGTATTTATGGGCTAAAGCACACATTTCTAGATGTCATTCTCGTCTTTTTTACTTCATGTCTAGTAATACGCTTGTCTTACCATTAACAGGAAGTGCAGCTTAAAACTTTGTTTCAAGAACTCTACTTTTTATTATATGTTGTTACAGACACTAGTAGTAGCTTGTTTAAACTAGACAACTTCTATTTCTAATTTTGCTAAGCGTCTTGACGTTATGTCAGGCGATTGTAAAATTGTGTGTTGAAATACAGTAAACGTAGTGAAAGACTGGTGAGAAGTTCTGCTGAAAGCACTTTCGATTCTGTTAGGAATAGGGGAAATTCCTGAAGAAATTTGACTTTACCACAGCCCGAGTGATTGGATGTACATTATAGAACCTCACGCGGATTTAATTTAGTTTAATATAACTTCGACATTCGTGATTTCTAGAATCAATCAGCACCACTTAAATGCACTATTGTGTTATAGTTTTAAACTCTCACGTTATCATTAATGGACTCAAAATAATACACTTCCCATAAACTTCTTGGTCTCTACCATGACATACTGTACAGTATTGGGGCTGTTTCACAAATGATAATTAATAGTGGTCTTTGATTCGCTTAAATTAATAAATGGTAGCCCAGAAATAGTACTGAGGGTTAGAATTATCATTATGTCTGAGCAATAACATGAAAAATTGAAATGATCTAAATTCCACTTACCCATTTTGAGCCAGTATTCGCGACAGAGCAAAATGGTCAGTGATTATTTAGTTCTGTTAATGGGAACAGAATTAATTCAGCACTCTATGATTTGAATGCATTGAATTGTATCCTGCGTTCATCTTGAAATGTTTGTGAATTTTTTACTGTAATAGAGGGCATTATAGAATTGTCAGGGCATCATGGGCTTCTGTTTTCACATTTTCCAATCAGTACCGAATGTAAGGGACAGAATATGCACAGTTTAACTAAATAATTTTAGTTACTGAGGAATCAGAGCCAGTTAATGCTCCCCATTTTCAGTTGTGCTCATGGGAATGGAGCAAGAAAACCCATTACTATAAAAGAGTGAGGATTTTTGGATGGCCATAGGATTATGGTCCTGACCAGCAGAATATAATTTGGGAAATCTGAGTTAACACTTCTGTCCACTTTTCAAAAGAGTACTCCTTCTTTATCTCCAGGGAATAAAACAATTTTAACATGATAATACTGGTGTCAAACACCTTGGATAAGTTCTCCTTCTTTCTGACACAAATCCATTTTTGTCACTCTTCTAAATGTTATAATGTCTCTGTTCCTCTTTATAGAAATGGTGGTGAGCCCTGACCTCCTCAATTTAATTATCTTTCTCAAACTGTATTGTTTCTAAACCTGATTTTTTGGCCTTTTCCATGTTTAGACTGCTGAAACAATGCCAGTGAGAAGGAAAGTGTTGACTAAACCACTGCCCAATGGACTGATAATAACTGACACTGAAAAGAAACAGTGGAGACTGGGGAAGATCATTGGACAAGGTGGATTTGGGATGATATACCTGGGTAATTATATTGCAATTTACACATCAAAAACATCATATTTTGTCTTTTTATTTCAGTATTACAGTATGTTTTTTTTACATATTCAGACCTAAAACTGCATTACAGTTTAACTTAAAATTGCCTTTCCCTAAAAGACTGTTTGTATCAGCATCATACTTTGAGTTAAATGAAATGAAGGACCAAACCATCCTGAGCATTTTCTGTGTTTCGGTATTTCTGGTATTTAGTACCACAACACGAAAGGGTGTTATTGACACTGTGTATATGGTATTGAGAGGTCTACCTAAAAGGGTTCATAGCTCCCAGCCAGAAAAGATGTATTAAAGGTGGCCTTTTAATTTGTGATAAATTGTGTGAAAGCTTTGCCGTCTTGCTTTGTAGTAGGTTTAAAGTAGTATTTTCTATTTCGAGTTATCAGTGAAGTAAGTTATCACTGGTTTGAAAACCCTTTGAAGGATTGCAAAGCAATGAAATTTGCCAGGTGAGCAGTACTCAAATGCAGTGTTCACTGATGCCTTGGGCCTCAAATGTATAAGGATTTGACCCACCCACTGATCATGAGTTCAGCTTTCCATAAACCAGAGACCTACCCTACCCTAGTACAAGCGGCAGGGTGCTTGAAAATTGTGACTGGCATCTGAGGTTTTGACTAGATCTAGGCCTTGGTCTCAGTTACAGCATTTTAAAGAAATGCAAGAACATTTTTTTCTGTTTTCAAGCTTTGCTGAAGTAAAGACTCAAGTTGAAAATTTTATGGTGGTGAAAGAATCTGTTACGAAAATGTCAGGCTGATTTTTTTTTTAGCAAATCAGAAAAGTCACATTTTTATGCAATTCATTCTTGGCATTTTTTATTTAGATTTAGCATTTTAATTTTTATCCCACCATTCTACATTAATCTTGAATGTCTTTTCTGATAATTCACTTTTGTTCTCACTGATATGAAAAGTACATGGCATTATTTTATTATTATGTACAATACATATACAAAACAGTCTGATATGTCACACAGGCAATCCATTAGATTTGTCTTTGTTTTTAATTAATACAAATGTGAATAATGACTTATGGAATCACGAATAACAGAGTGGAGGCTGAACATGATTTTTTTCAGACATGTGAATTTGTATTTTTTGTTTGAGGCAGCAAAAAATTGTATTTGCTTTTTATTTTTCCTTTTCCAACTTTTTTAACTTGTGAGCTGAAGACGTTTTCTCCCCTCAAATGTTAAGGGTTCTATGTAATTAAAAACAGCATGGGGCACCCTGTAGTTGGTTTTCACCAGTGCGTGCTCATAGCCAAATCATGTGAAAGATGGAAGTAATTAAAGCTGAGAGCACAGTCCAATCCATCTGCTTTTCCCTCAACACATGTATCATTTGCATTATGACCTGACATCCTGTTATCCTTTTTGACACACCTGAGCCACTCCACATTTTTCAGTTGAAAAGACAAAAATGGAGAATTTCTTGGGAACAGTGTATTATTTTTGGTAAATTAGCAGCAGAGTCAGTGCGTGGAAAATTGCAGATCTCAATGTTAATGCATTTCCAGCAGAGCATGGGATAAACTTTGTGTGGGAGGAGTTTTGAATTTTGATTTTTTTTGTTATTGTTCCTCTTCTTTCTTTCAGCTTCCCCAAGTGTAAATGCACCTGTTGGAGATGATTCAGATTTTGTGATTAAAGTTGTAAGTACAGTAATGTATCTTTATTAAGTGCATTTCCAGTTGTTTCTCATACAGCTTACAGTTTAGTATTGTAGTACATGTTTTGGTCCGGTAGTATATTAATTGCAAACTATCTGGGTTATGTGTTATTATAGTATTAAGAAAGGTTATAAATGAGAGGAGGCCAAGTGGCCCATCTAGCTCATTTTGTTGTAAGTAGCTAAATGATCAAAGGATCTCATCCAGCTGTTTCTTTGAAGGAAGCAGTGGTGTTGATTTCAACAACATGACTGAGTATCTTGTTCTAAACACCTCAACAATTTGTATCAAAAGTGTCCCCTCTCCTTAGTTTTAAATGTACAGTAGCTTACTCCTCAGTTTCCACTTGTATCCTAAATTCACTTTTTACTATTGCCTTCGAAGAAGTTTATTCAGTAGATTTTGCCAGTGGCTTTTACATTTACGAAGTGTTTGTTATAAATCCATTCTGTAGTGAGGAAATCCTACTCAGAATGTCAAAGTATTATTTGAAATGGTCACATTCATAGAATGTCCTCCCTTGCATGTCCTCCTAGCAGAATTTTGCCGATTCAGTTTTGCTCAGTTTGCTATAAATGACCATGAGAGCTATGGAATTTATACTGTAAGTGAAAAATATTTTATAATCAAAAGAATCAATAAACAGCGTTGTTGCTTCAAGAGCATTTTGAGAAAATATTTGGTTGTAACCTTAGATAATAGAAACTTAATACAAACAGTTCTTCATTCAAATAAAGTTACAATAAATTCAAAATGCTGTAAACCATAAACAACTGTTTCAAAGAGATGCACAGTATTTTTAATTTATAAGCTATAGTGTATAATGTTCAGTGTAAAAGGTGATGTGTGATGTTTGTTTTTTACTTGCATTTTCCTCAAAGGCTATGGTACAAAAATAACTCTGTGGAAAACACAATATAACATAGAAAACCCAGTAAGATAAACATTTTTGTATGAATGGATGCCAATTCTACTACAATGTTGATATTTCATGTAAAAATAAAAAAAATATGGGTGTATTTCCAGGAATATCATGAGAATGGTCCTTTGTTCACAGAACTTAAGTTTTATCAGAGAGCTGCAAAACCAGAATACAGTAAGTATTGATATTTTAAAGTAATACTAGTTATTATAAATGCAAGGTGTTCTAATTATATGTAACATACAGGTTTAAAGTACCTTAAAAATACTGACCTTAATGTCATTATCAATGCATTTATAAAATGCTAATTCACACATTTATGTGGAGGAGAAGGTTAATCTGAGACCAAAAAAGTAACAACATGATATACTGTAGATGGTAAAGTCATGCTCTATTTTCATGGCTTTACAGCCAGTAGTACACTATTATTATGAAGTGGCTTGTAATCTAAATTGTCTCTGCTAGTCAAATTAATAAGCCAAAGTAAACATGCACCTTTGGGGTCATTAATGCAATCCTATCTCATTTTATCTGTAATTTGAGAGAATGACCAAATTACAAATAATGGAGCTGCAATCTTCCAGTGAGCACCTGACCACCTGGCAGTCTAATAAAAGCCAACAATCTGACACTATGGTTTTCCCATTCTCTTCATAGGAAATGCCATCTTACCTCCAGGAAATTAATTGTATGTAGTATAGACAGATATGAAAACTTCCAAGAAGAGTATTATCTCTACTGACTGTATTGTGTTTTTCTTAAAAAAACATTTGGAGAATTTTTCAGAATTAGTTCATTTTGGTAACATCAGGTAGATTTAAAGCATTTTAGTTACAAGTACTCTATGTGTTAACTTACTTTTTACATGACTGAAGTTAACGCTGCACATAAACTGAAAGATGTTAATTTATAATTTCAACATTACACTTTTGCTGAGATGAAAATGGGTGATTAATGCCCGTTCACAGCAAATGTGTAATACTGATCAGCTGTTCATTATAAAACCTAACCCGAAATTACTCTTTCGGACAAATCAGTAACATTGTTTAGCTGTTTACACCGTCTGATCATTGGCAGGAGTAGCGAACAGCTGATCAATATTACACGTTTACTGTGCGTGGGCATTAATTACCAATTTTCATCTCAGCAAAAGCGTGATGCTGAATTTACAAATTAATATCTTGCAATTGCAGGACAGTTTTAAAGTGTCCTGGTGAATACAGAGTTGTGCTGTATGCTCTCCCCACAAATGACTGAAAATTACTGCATGTTTTTATTTTACAGTGAAAGGATGGATAAAAAAGTGTCGATTAGAATTTCTGGGGATTCCTACCTACTGGGGATCTGGTTTGGCTGAATGCAGTGGAATACGGTATTATCATTTAGCACAACATTTCAGAAAACAACAACCCCACATACCTTAATATTATGTGTTGCGTCAGACCTAAGTTATCAAAAGATGTTCTTCTCTAACCATAATAAACTTTCTTAATCTTACAATATGCCAGTTAACGCTAAAAAATATAGATATTGTGAAGATATACAATTTCATAGTTAAAGATTTAATTTAATTGGACTCCATTTTCTTAAAAGAAAAAAGTAAGTGGTGTATTCATACACAATGAAAAACCTTAAATATTCAGTTTATTAGACTATATTGTCCCCTTTCTGTGTCAAAGCACATATAATGAGTGCACAGATATAAAATTATAGAAATGTCATGGCCATTTCTGTGTGTATTTCTCTTTGTGGATGCATGTAATTATGATTTTAAATATGATTTTACCTTAATATATGTGTAGCAGGAAGCATAGAAAGTAGAGTATATGACAATTATGTATAAAGCAGTGACTGAAATCACAATCTTAACCTTTCCCCTCCTTTCTTCATATAGTATCTTGTATAGTGGCTTTGTACCCCAGTACCTCTTGATTAGAATCAGCACCTAGGTCATGTACTGTATAGTGTTTATAACACATGCACCTAATTAGGCTATTGGTGGTAGTGCAATATGGTATGGTTATTAAATAATTATGCCAAAAGCATAAATTGAGAAATAAAGACAATTCCCCATCATTGGATTTATCCATTCTCTAATACTCATAATATTGTGATTTCACTCAGTTTAGAATGGATTGATCATCAAATGTTTGACTGTATTTGAAACACATTTTCAGCTCTGTTTGAAATATTTAATGAAGAAGTTGTATCACACCGTCTACCAATAACCAAAATGCGTGCACAGTATTATGCGATTGTATGCTCAATCAATATGTGATTGGTGCTCATTTTGTTAATATGAATGTTTAAAGTTAATTGTAGTGAATATCTGTAGTCTCTGTCTTTTTTTGCCCATGAATCTGTCTAGATATTAATGTTTGATTATTTTTATTTTGATCATGACTATTTCAGTGATGTATAATTAAGTGTTTTGAATGTTGTAAATACTTTCATAGTCAAATGTATGATTGTTATAAATCATCCATAGTGATTTGAAATGTTTTTTTTTTCACTCCTTGAATTGTTAGATACCGGTTCATGGTGATGGACAGATTAGGCAGTGATTTGCAGAAAATCTTTGAAAAAAATGGGAAGAGGTTTAAAAAGGAGACTGTTCTCTGTTTAGGCGCTCAGTTGGTAAGTAAGCAGAAGAGTACTTCTCCTTTGAAAAGGCCAAGAGCCAAGGGTGCTCTGCTAGTGAAATCTATGCCATTACCACTATAATGATATTGTTCTTAGAAAAGGGGAACTGAACAGAATGTTAAACAGACTTAGCACGTTTCGGTAGATGAGTCTGATTTTAGGGCCTTGGTATCCACATTAAATATTTATTTTCACTTTAATGTAATTTATACTGTATATGTGAACAAGAGGTAATAATGTGTGATGAAAGTCAGACGTAAATGAAGTTGAACAGGGAATTGCTTGAAGAGTGGTTGACCCTTTATTTTCTTTTACCAGATTGATGTTCTGGAATACATTCATGAGAATGAATATGTTCACGCCGATATTAAGGCTTCAAATCTTCTGCTGGGCTACAAGGATCCAAGCAAGGTTGGCACCATTTCCTGATTAGTTTTAAAATGGCATGTTTAGTGCTGTGTTCAAATGTTAAGAATCTGTTCAGAAACGCTTTATAAACTCAGTATAATTTGAATATAATTATTCACTGCTAACTGGTTAATAAGCTGTGTAATATTATGAGAGCTTTTGATAATGCCTGTAGAAAATGCTGAAGTCTGCTCCACCCTTTTGTACTCCTTGTTACCATTGGAGGATGAGAGGACTAAGAGTGACAACATATGCATGGTGGAAAATTTGTGTTTGTGAGTATGTACAGTATACAGTATGTAGAGGTGATGCTTGAATGCATACAAGGCAAAATAATCTACATTATGTGCAGACAAGGCCATGGCTCAGTGAAAGAGAGGTACTGTATGTGTTGTTGGAGTGTTCCTGGCATAATTGTTACAACATGAATCACGACGACATCCAGGGTTCCAGGGTTACCACTGGCAAACTGCACCATCACTGCCAACTGACAACAAGCACCCATAGTAACCTGATCAGCAGTGTGTAATGAACAGTAGAGACCACCTGCAGATCACTTATGCACAGGGAAAATTTTAGCTGCTAAAAGAAGATCCATAATCTCCATCATAGTCATTAGGTAACTGACTACTGCTGCTGTCCAGCACTATTGCCCCTACAATGAAAATGACTCAGTATAACTGGACTGCACAACTGCAGCTTGCATTTAAAACATGGATGGCACTTCCCTGGATATTTTCAAAGGCATCTGATACCTGGTGACTTTTAGTTCATTGTATCACATCATGAAGGAAGATCAAAACAAAGGATCTGCTTTCGTGTCAACACATAATTTCTTTCTTAGGCACATGCACTGTAGCAGAGGGGGGGTTAAAAATGTCTGAGAAGTTTCCAAAGAAACAAAAGAAATTCCAAACCTGTTTATACTTTTAGCAATTAAATATAAGTGAATGTTACTAAAAAAAAAAAGTCGGAATGTCTAAATCTTTCAACAACAAAAAATAAAGTTCACAAAGTACCAAAAAGGTTTGTAGAAAAGCATAATCCCTAGTCATCTTGATACACGTTTGTACAGGATTCACTTTGAATACTACAAAATTTCAAGAAATAAAAAATGGCCCCTCACTACAGTTTCTTTAATGCTTGCAGGTTTACCTTGTTGACTATGGGCTGTCGTATAGATACAGCCCTGATGGCAATCACAAAGTTTACAAAGAGAACCCAAAGAAGGGACATAATGGAACAATGGAGTACACAAGCATTGATGCTCACAAAGGAGTGGGTAAGACAAATGTTTTCTCTTCATATGACATTGCCAACATACTTTTCTCTAAAACAAAACAACAATATGTACATTTTAAAAACAATTGAATCTCTTTACATCACCTCTTTTCAAGACATTTTATATGAACAGTGGGTTTTGATTTACAGTATAACTATCATGCACAGTTTCAGCCTTGTTCTGGCCATAGCTTTCATAAGAGTTTATTGAAAGTTTTTGAATCTTTCTTGTGTGTAACAGTTAAATTGCTACAGAACATATCATTTGTAGGAGTAATGGTTCTAGAATTATTAAAATGTCACAGGAAATATATTTGGTACTATATCCCAAGTAGGGAAAGAATTAAATAGCAGGCCATTAACTTTCAGATTAGGTCATTTTTTTTTTATTTTTGTTTTTAAACTTACTGAAACTGTAGCCTCTCATATCTCTTATTTAAACTCCTATTTGATGATATCGGAAACACATTTGCTGGCAAATTACAAACATAGTCTTTTTATTGGATATTGATCTTTCTGCCTTGCATTCCGAGGCAGACTTAATTCAACAATTCCCTAATTAGTTAAAGTCATAACCTGTGTCTTGTATTCATTTACCATTAATTAAACCTTTGATGTTTATTAGACTGGTGCTCAAAGCCAATACTAGACTTGAACAAGCATAGACAGTACAGGAGCTCAATATTGAGAAAATATAGCGCAACATCCCACTAATAGCTGAGTTGTTCACAATCAATATGGTCAATATAATACATCTGTACAAGTTGCAATGTCAGCAGCAGGAAAAAGGGAAAGTCAATTCTAATGTTATGTTTTGAGAGGGAGAAAAAACATTTTTGTTGATTGTTATAGAAATTGTGGAATGTCTGATACACAATAATTGCTCTTTCACGACCATGGTCTAGGGTCTTCATCTGCATGAACCCAGAAAGTGCTCTTTGACATTACACTCTGTACTAACATAGGAAATTCTATGTGTGAATTGCAATGTAACAAAAATGTTGTATATTTCAGATGTAGGTTAAATGGAGTGTAACCCAAAGTGTTACCCGGGAGAGCTGCAAGACTTTTTTTTATCTCTATGCTGTCAGCATCTACCTCACCACAGAATTATGACTTAAGATCTAGGTAGCAGAAAGTGGTTTGTGCATGATGCTGGTTTCCTTGCCCCCTGCCCTTTGGAAGCATGTGGGCTTCATTAGTGTCTTAAAATTGTCCCCACCCACTTTGAAAATACAATTTCTTTAAACAAGCTTTATATTTGCCACAGTCAGCGAATGTGAATTGTCGTTTGTAAATTTAATGTTTTTATTGACTCAAAGCAGACTGGAGTTAAGTCCTTGTCTTCTTCAGCTCAGAGGTTAGTTGAATGGATATGACTATAAAGAACATTGTTTTAGTTGAATGACTATGGCTATAAATAACACTGCTTTTAAGTGGCATTGATTTGACTCAAGAAGCCCGCTTTTGAAAATGATCAGTATTTAATGCACACATTATTCCTGAAATCCAAACTCAACTTAGAATAAAAAATACCAACAAAAGAAAGAAAAAAAACTTTTAAAAGTCTAACTGGTTACAGCTATAACCAGCATGGCCATGGGTGGAAGAAAGCTTTTTATCCACTTCTCTCTAAGAGCGTATAATGACCTCCTGATTATCTCATGTGCAGGAGATCACAGAATTAAATAGCTCTTCTACTTATGTGTCCTTGATTAATACTTCTGAGTTTGACATGGCTATGAGTCACTGTTGAATACAGATTTATCCCACTGAGACCACCAGGAATCTCTCCTTTGTGAATCCTCAAAAAGGTCTGACAAGCACCCTTGTCCTTGGAGGTGTTTCTGTTCTACTCACTTGGCATGGCTGTGTTTCCATGGTTGCAACATTTTGGATAACAGCTTGAATTATTCTTAACTCAGAGTTTTCTATATTGTATAATTTAAAGCAAATTATTTTCCTATTGCTTTGGAGCCAGGAAGAGCCTTTTACCCAGGGGGTAATACAACCATTTACACTTTTCTTCAAGAGATTTGCACTACTCACAGAATGGTGTGCAGTGGTCAGAAATGGCTTGGCAAGGTCTGATCAATACAATATCATGGCTTAAAAATTAGAAAACATACTTGTGGGCCTAGGTAACAATTAGTGATTATAAGAGTAGATATGGATTTTGAGAAATAGTAGAGAATCTGACCATTTCTTCTAGGTGTCAAAATGCTGATTTTAGGGGTCATTTTCTGTAGGTGTACAGAAATTAAGCAATAAGGGATATTAAAGAAAGATGTAAACATGCTTTATTAATGTATAAAATACAAGAAATTAAATCGCCACTACATAGCAAACCAAAGGTAATGACATCCATTTCCAAAATTTACTTAGGATTGTCATTTGTAAAAAAAGTACAGTATGCTACATTATATACAAATGTTTTCCGTATTTAAATGTAATTTATATAACTGATTGCATTTTGGTTTAACCTGAATTGAGAACTTTCTGAGCTCACACAGTTTTTAGACTTTTATAACCATATCATTATCATAACCATATATTTGAAAATTTGAAGTAAATATCACAGAGATCAGTAGTTCCATGTATAGTGCTTATAGCATATTGCATTAATAGAGATTATTACCATATTATTTGTTCACTCTGTAACCCCATGACAAAATAAATGAAATTGTATTGTTACAAAACAGAAACACCTTTTTTCAGAGGAACTGTAGGATAATAATGTAATACTTTTAATTGTCTTTTTTTAAATCAATTACTCTCCCCCTCTGGATGATTAATTAATGTATGAATCTATGAATTTATTATGCAATTAGGAAGTAAACTTATGTAAACTTGGGAAGATGATGTTTAGTTTTCTATTGTGCATCAGGAACCATCTTGTTTAAAATACAAACTTAGTTCTTGTCATAAATTTAATATCTTCCTTTTCCTAGTTTATCTGCTTAGAATTAAGTTTTAGTAGTGGGGAGAAAAAAAATCCTCACAATTTCTAAAAATGCTTAAAAATGTGATCTCAGTGAGGTGACAGGCAAGGAGGTCCTGTGTCACATTGCTGATTCTTCTGGTTCAGCTTTCTCGACCTGAAGAGCTGATACTGACAGGCGGAACCTGCTCCTAAAGACAGGCTGTTTTTTCTCTAGGCAGGGGACTTCAGTGAATTTGTGTTTTGCCTTTTGGTCTGTGCAGTGACTCCCCCATGACTGAGAGAGAAGTAGGTTTCTCTCTTTAAATGAAGAGAACACTACTCGCTGTGCTACTAGATGCTTGTATTGTATACTTAGACGACCTTTTGATGTGTGCACATTCTTTTAAGAAAAGTGCAGAGACTTTGTGCTTTGGGCTTTTGAGATGCTAAAAAGAGCAGTGACCCTGTCCCTTGTCCTGATGTTTCAGAAGCTGTTGTCACTAATACTGGATACTAATAATGGATAGAGGTACAGTACAGCAGAAAGGAATCACTGTGCTGCTCTTAAGGAGCCATTGCCAGTTGTTTCTCATTTGCTCTGACCCTGGATCTCTCCTTTGGCTGCTCAGCTTTAGAAAACCTGGGGGACAGATCATATCAGAAAATCTGAGGAAAGGGTTTGGGTGTTTTGCCCCTGCTGCAAAACAGAGTTTTCACCTCAGTCCCCTCCTTCCCGGGAGGGTCCTTGTTGGAGATCATGTGAAGGATCCAGATGAGAACAAGATGGAGACATGTAGTGCTTCATCAGGACTGCGTGTGTCTCCTAAGAATATTAATATAAAAGGTCTATAATCTTACTGCAAATTTCCTCTGGTTTTCAGGTGCCGCCTACACATAAAATTGTTCCATACTGTAGGTACACTGCCCACATCACAATGCTTCACCAGTGTTGAATTTTACCAGTGTGACAAAACCTCAATTAAATCTCTCATGCCACATTTTGATTTTCCTTTCTAAATCAGGTGTTGTATTGTGATAGAAGCTCAGCCTTTCAGCCTCAGTGCAGCAGAAGCTCTGCAGCACTAAGGTGCTGGATTGGCCAAGACACTGGCATTGGTGGGATTTCTAAGGCTATTTCTATTGGTGTGAGAGAACCTCCTCAACCCCACCATTATTACCTTATTGTTCTGGTATAATAAGTAGCACATGCTGTGCTTATTAAGTCAGGGTTAAGTTTTGCAGCAGCTCAAATGCTCAGAATCCAAATGCGTGCTGAACTGTATTACTGAACTGTATGAAATGTTTTTTACTGTAATTCACTTTAAAAGCAGGGTAAATTTATTCCTCCTCACTTAAAACAGAGCTATACTAAGTATTTTTGAAGGAGACTGAATTTAAATTTAGAGGCGCTTAGAGGTATGAATATCTGTAAAACCAGGGCAAGAACTGTAATGATGTACTGCTGACTTTCTTTTTTAATCTTTATTTGTCTGGCAAAAGCACAATAGTTATTGTACTTGGAAAATATAGCAGTTCATTTTGCAGGTCTTTTTTAAAAAGAAATCAAAGTTTTTCCATAATCTGATATCTAACGAAACACAAATACAGTATGCATTATAAGAGTTATTCCACAAAAGTAGAAACAGGTCAGCTGAAACAAATATGATATACTACTTCAAGAAATGTCATTACAAAAGCTTGCAAGTCCTAGGATTTTGTTTTCAAGTCTGGCATTTTTTTATAATTACACTTATTTCAGCATAGGCTTTATTAAACAACTCTTTCCAAGAGGTTAACAAAATTTGAGGGAATGCATATACAACATATATTGTTCTGTTGATAGTATTTTTCAGTTCTTAACATGGTTAATGGACTTTAAAGGTAACATTTAGATCAATGAAAGCTATAGATTCCAACAGAATTTTCTCTTGTTGATTTATGCAGTCAATATGTAATTTCTCTTGAGAAATACTGCAGTTACAGTATTGAGTTAGTAAAGTACTCTAGTCCGGGCTGGAATCTGTTTTAATTTACCATTATTGATGAACACAAGCTGAAATTTTACTGATGGGGATGCATAATTTAATGATGTAATTGTGTTTTTTAATGAAAGGAAATCTGCAGTATAAACAATCTTTGACGTGGTGTTGATGGTATTGGAAAGAGAGAGTTAGCTGTGTATTGTCATGCTTATGGCTTCAGGATTTTCGGATGAGAAGAAAACAAGAAAAAATCATTGAAATATAGAAAGCAAAAGTCTTTGCTTCCAGTTTGAGTTGCTTGCTTCTTTTAAGTAGACTTTGCTTTGACTTCTATTATAGCACAAACAGTATCCATATCATTTTTACAGTTTTTTGCTTATGTTTCTCTTTTGTGTCATACAAATTAACCTCTGCCCTCCCCTCCAAAATAACCTCAAAAAGTGGTCAGTAATGAGATGTGTAACATACTGTAAACGTTCTTACCATCAGCATTACGAAACTTTAATTTTCTGTAATTTCTGTGGGGGTGGTGTGTGTTTGGTGTCTGTGTTACAAAAAGAGGATGGAGAAGACCGGTGAAATTTTAACGAATAATTGCTCAAGTAATAGGAATGTCATGCACTCACAGTTAAAAAAACTAAATTTCTTCAGCCAAATGTACAGTACTATTCATGCGCAGCAATGAAAGAAGTTGAAATTATGAGGAAGTGTGTTTAGGAAAAAAAAAAGGAATGTCTTTACAGTCACAGGGGGGCTGAACTAAACCACCCTGCCGTGTTGTAGAAGCTGATTCCCCAGGGTCTTTCTGTAACAGTGGGATGAGATCCTTGGATCAATAAACTGCTAACATTGCGAGAAGCTACAGTAGGAGAAATGGGTTGAATGTTCTCCTATCTCTGTAGTCCTTCTTACTGTACACTATATTTATACTGTATGTAAAAACATCTAAGAAGGAAATAGTAACAAAGTAGAATCTGTGACAAAAAGATAAGAAAAGTAAGAAAGGAAATACTGTAGGAAACACGAGGATGTAAACTCTTCATTTGAAAAGGAAGTTATATGTGCAAACAAAGCTTTCTTCTATCTTAATTGACATGGCATTGTATATTTTTGTTAAAGTCTAACATGTTTTATGTACATGCTGTCTGTTTTAGAAAACTATTGGCACAACATATACAAACATGGCAGCCTCTTCAAGAATCACGGAACGTATTATTATAATTACTTATTCATTAATAATTATTATTGTTATTCATTCTGAGGCAGGGTAGCAGTAGTGAGCATGGTGGTTTCAGCTGACCTGCCACTAGAGGTCGTTAGGGCCTTTGTTGTTTGTGCTGTATATAGGGTTAACATGTGGTGCATTGATTGACTAATTAGGTAATGAAGAAGGGCTGAGAACCACCTTTTCACAGAAAAGACAGGTTTGGTATATAAAGGGACTCATGGGGGTAGCCAGGGTTGAGTTAGGTTGGAGTATGGCTTTGTTGTTGTGAAGAAAAGCTTTTTGCAGAATAAAAAGTGTCCTAACACAAACTCCATGCTAGCCCTTGTTATTTCCACATGTGGATCTCGGTTAGAAGCTGGCCTGGTTAGAGGTTGGCTTGTCACACCATCTGTACCTTTTGACTTATAATTCTGACTACAAGTATTTTAAGGAATATATGCCAAAGGTCATGAGTTCAAATAATGAAAAATTAAAAATTCAGTAAGATTTCCCTGTGCCCCTTAGATAGTGGAGCAGTTCAAGAAACACTCATTTGGAAGGTTTATCTTGATAGTTGTTTTCAAATATCGTAATGGGGAGAAAAGTAATTCACTAAGTAATAATTTTTTTAAGCCGTCCGAAAAGTGACTGCTGAGTCTGCCAAAACTCTCATACTGTATGTAGAATACATATAATTTAAATACTATGATTATTATTCTAAAATCTGTTTGCTATGTTTTATAGAAAACAATTTTAAAGAAATCTATTCTTTTGGTACCTGTTATTTCAGACCTAAAGCAAATCAATGACCACGTACCGTTTGTTGTGCTAGTTCAGTTGAGTGACTTCAGAACCTAATTAAATCAGTCAGCTTGATGCCTGGTCGCTGGTGTTAGACAAATAAGCCAGTGAGTTTAAAAACCTCTCGAAGTGCTATTTGCAAATTACTTATCTGAAAGTGTTGACTGTTGTACAGAAATCAAGCAGTAAATAATAGCATGGTGCAGTTTTCAGCCTGTTTTTCCCATTAGTAGATCAATAGGATTTTAAAGGAGATTTCTGCAGGAGAAACAAACTGCATCTAAATAATTATTTTTTGATGCCCCTGCATTTTGTATAGACCCATTGCCAAGTCAAATACAATTTTGAAATATTTTGAACAAATAAAACCTTTCATATTGTGCTTTATTAGAGTGAACACCACTTGTTTTCCCGAAAAATAGTTTTTCCATTTAAATTTCATTTTTTAAAGGAAGTACATTTTGAAATTGCCTTTGGAAAGTTGAAAGGTTTGTTTATTTGACATATAATTGTGAAAAGAGGTATATTAGGCTGAAGCAGGAAAACTTTTTTATACACTTAATATATGATGCACCTTTTACATTCAGTACATAATTATTTTCATGTAGCATTCAGTACATGATATGAATTGTACAGACACCTTCACATTAGGGGTTAGTAAAACAAGCGAATTAAACTGAATAGCAGCATAACCTAAACATACAGTATTCATAAATTTTAATTCTTCTGCAGCTTCTGTTTTTTTAACTGTTCCTTTACTCTCCCTGCTCTGTTCATAAAGCCTTTAAGACAACCCTTTATTTATTTTGCCCTTTCAATAGAACACTGTGGTGGACTAGATCTTTTTTCCTACACCGGACTTAGCCACTATGCTTCTAACTGAGATCCACATAACCATCTAATGGAATGGGAACCTCTGACCACAAGTGTATGGATGGATTCATTCCATAGTTAATAAGAGATTTATGAGCTAAGGAATTGCAATATAGCAGTGTGCAGTTAAAAGCATGTTTTTTTTTTAATATAGAAGCCAAAGTCTGCTCTTGGAAGGAACAAAATATTCTCCAAAGCAGCCCAAATCAGACTGTGGTATCTTTGTTTTAAAAAAGGGTAGATTTATGGGGAACATTTGAAGAATAATTTGTACCTCATTTATTGTGGGTCTGATAGCTTACAATTAGTAAAATCGTTTCGTACAGCTTTTTTAACATCCAGTGAAACACAGTGGTTTTGTTGGTTGGACTAAACAAAATCCAAAGAATTTAAATACAGAAAAAAGGATGAAAGATCAGTGAAAATACGTTTTTTTTAATGGTTTACACTAGATGGCAGTTTTGTAATGTCTTCCACATTTTTCACATTCACATGGAAGAACAGGAAAGGTCTTCTGTGTTTAGTCTGCACTTGGGGTCTCTGTATGGCCACTTTAGACCCCATGGACTTCCTGGAACATATGTTAGCAATTTAGCAGCAGACATTTATTTCTTTGTTTTACTGCTTTGGCTCTTTGAGAATGTGTCAGAGCTGGGTTATGGGCTGTCTGGATCATGTCAGAGGCCACAGGGTTCAGGTTCATGTGACAAGCCAGACTGAGGAAGGATGAGGTTGGGGAGGTGAGGAAACTGACCCTTTCTTTCACCTCCAACCAGTCACAAGTCTGTCTGTGAACCAAGGCCAAAAAGCTGGGCGTTACACTGCAGATGCAGCTGAATAAACAAAACACTGCACCTCCTCAGCCTTTGCGTATTTCATCAACAGGAGTTTAATCAAAGCCAGTTTATGTCTCGAGAACAGGTTCTAATCCTTCATCCTTTCCTTTTCCCCTTGCTCCTATTCCCTCAGCACCTTCCAGACGGACCGACCTTGAAATCCTTGGCTACTGCATGCTGCACTGGATTTGTGGAACGCTGCCCTGGGAGGACAACCTAAAGAACCCCGTGCTTGTCCAGAAAGCAAAAGCACAGTACTGCTTTATCCATGTTTTAAAAATAACAGAAATGCAGAGTCAATGTGTCCTGGGCTTGTAATAGGAAGAATGATGTTGCTGTCCACAATGCAGAGCAGCTTACTACAATTGTAAAAAAAGACCAATACAGTTAACATTAATCTCAAGGAAGCATGCACAGAATTCTAAACTACAGAATTATGCAACTAATTCATATTTTATCACAACATAACCAAAAACTGTGATGAACAGACAACTAAGAGGAATGAAAAGCTGAAGATAACTTACTGTAAGCTTTACTGTATATACAACATGGATACTACCAAATGCCAAAATATGTGAAGCTAATGTTTGTACCACCTGGAGCCCTAAGGGAAATGGTGAAACACTAGTACAAAGAAGCACATAGGAATACTCTTGTTTACTTGTTTTTCAACACGTATCAGTTAATTTGACTGGTTTAGCTATAAACCAATTTCAATAAGGTCATTTGTTTTTAAATATAAAATAATTCACCTGTTATAAATGTTGCTGTAATTCTAAAGTCTCCAAAACTCTGTCCTTCAGCACAAAGAGATACCGAAACATAGAGATTTCTACTGTAATTAATAGCTAATTGCATTGTAAATTCTGAGCTGCAAAAAGAGTAAGAGTGGTGCTGTTTTTGTGCCTTTTAAATAACTTAGATCTTCTTCATGTATATTTTCACTACCCTGTCTGAGCATCTTAAAGGTGCTCAGAGAACTTGGAATTTACCTATAGTAATTTTACTAAATATGACGATTCTTTTTAGCGTATCAGTGTGATAGTTCTATCCACCGTTGTTTAAATGGCATTCCAACGATTTACTGTAGTTCTTGGGCTATTTGAATATAGGTATAAATATGAGAATTCACATTTGCCTTATATAATTATTTACAGTACCTAAACCCGTAACAAATAAATAATTCTTGACTCAGGTTTTCATTTCCCCTCCAGGCTTATGGAAAACCTTCCAGATTCTGTAATTCTGAGTTCAGCCTCTGGAACTAACTGCAGTAAGTGTGTTTTCCTCAAGAATTCCAGAATTCCAAAAGATTATGAGATCACAGGATGAAGGTAGACCTTATCACAAGGCACAGGTTGGGCCACCATGAGGACAGGAGGCAAAGGATCCCCAGAAGCTATTGATGCCACAAAGAACAGTTTGCTTTCAAATCACATAGCCTAACAGAATGCATTTCAAAATCAAGAAAACTGTATAAAAATAATTTCTTTTGAACTGTTATGTAATATTTTACATGTGAGAGCGGATGATTGTGAGGATGGCAGGTTGGAATAGTCCTCTCAAGGGTATTCATGAAGTATGATTATAGTGTATTTCACAACCTTGTGAGGAGTGCAGTGACAGCTGGACTTTCAAGATAAGACTAAAACATGCATCAATAATGTCTTGAATTTAAAAATGTGCATGTGATATACATTCAACTTAAAGATACAGTTAACCCCCTTACTTAGGCCTAATATATATTGGTAGCCTTTTTTGAAGACCTAACATTTAAAATGCAAGCAGAAGGTAAAAAAAACCACAGCACAACACCCGGTTTTTATCAATTTCAGTGTCATGACATTGTACAAGAAAGTTGCAATGAGATGCACAAATTAAAATGGTAGTGTTGCACAAAATCTTTTATAATTTACTTCCTTTGCAAAGGGCCTTCTCATCTCCACAGTGCTTTGTGTTTCTGTGACAGCTGGATAATGTGATTGCCAGCAGTTGGTTGAACCTGTGCTGAGAGGTTATTTATGTTGCAAAGCCATTCCCTGCATGTTGGCTAGCCTGAAAGCAACTTCAGTGTTAGCTCATCTCCCATCCCCCACTTTATTTTTTGCTTTTTCCTTTAAAAGGATATTATAACCCTCTTAAATTAGTCTTTAAGGTTCAGTGAAGGCGACAGACTTTTATTTTTTATTTTTACATGATCTTAGAGTTTTGTCACAGAACAGCATCTTCAGAATATCCATAAGGTGTATCTGAAAATTCCAGATCAAAAATCACACAGTATCCCACAAGGTATTCCTTATTGCTTCGCTTTAGTCCTTGTAATTTCACTGATATGCTTTTGTTGAGCAAGGGGAATTATGAAAGTGAAATTTAATTGCTCACTCTAGTGCGAAATCTGAGTATAAAACTAATAGCCTGGACTGTATATACTGTTTCAAAAACTGGAAAGGATTTTTCTTATGAGTTATCTTTTGTACGTCATATGATTGTTAATAACACATTAAAATTTAGTTAGAAAGTGCCTTTATTTACAAAAACTGCTTAAATATTAAAACATTTTAGAGCATGATGAACAAAGCCTCCATGTAACGTTTTTCACATTTACTGTAAATCTTGATACAGTTTGCCTAAGGTCATATTCATACATTTAGCTGAAGTGCACTTTATAAACTCTATTTTGAATTTGTTGGTCTCACGCATTCCAGTCTGTGCAATAAATGCATGCTGTTCCATGCTAATGGCAAAATGATCCCTGTGTATTGCCGAGAATGTTATAGCTGTAATTCCTTAATTTTGCCATCACTTTTTTTGCTCCTGGAAACTGTAGAAACAATGGGGGAAATGCGTTTTTCTTGGAAACTGAGAATAATGTGCTCAATGTACAGCGCTGGGATCAAGAGCTTGTTCACAGTCACGTGCAGGACTGAGTCTGGCCCTGAGGCCACTGGCTAGAGAACAGTTCAATACAGCACTTCAGTAACCAACCATTGCTCTTTTATCTACCCTTAGGGGAAGCAGCCAGGTTTTTATGCTGCGTTAAAACCTTGGGATATGATGAAAGGCCAAACTACCAGATGCTACGAGATATTCTTTTAGATGGAGTACAAGAAATGAAAACAGACTACAAGGGCCCTTTGGATTTTTCTGCTGGGCATGAAGTGGAAGCACATGGTTCCAAGTCCCATGAAGTAAGTTTTAAGTGACGTTTTTGCTTAATTGGGAACAGATGTTGTAACCTTTACTGTACACAAAGATTTGGGCTAAAAGATTTATCCGTCTACAAGATGAAGAGATAGTAATGTTTGTGAACCCTCTTGTGACCCTTCAGGATATAGCATTCCATTGTACTGTAAACTGTGAACTTTATGGGATATTAGAGCTGCTAGAAAAAAGGCTTGAACTGAAATAGAGAGATTTACAAATTTTCAACAGTCCCAGGTCTGTTAACTGAAAGACTAAAACTATAAAGTTTATCACTATAATGAGCTTGTGTACTGAAATGTACTTATTTTAAAACTGAAAAAACTTCTACGTCAAATATCCCAAAAGAATACAGCAACATTATCATTGAATGTCAAACATGTGCTACAGTTAATATCTTTACTACTGTATTTTGTAGCATTTTATTAACAATGGACTATTTCACCTTTGGTAGGACAGGTATCATAATTTATAGAGTGTGTAACTGCAGAATCTTTTTTTCTCACTCTCCTTATTATAGGGGAAAAAATGCAATTTTCCAGATCCAGATAAAAAAGTTATAACACTGGTTAGTTAATTTCCCATCTCAAAATATGCATTTTTAAAAACCACCACTTGCTAACTGGGTAGAATTACTTTCCAGACACAGGGATGTGGATAATCCAAACTGCAAACTTTTGAAAGATATATTTTTGGACTGTGTAATACATGGGATAAACTAGGAGTAATACCCCTTTCATACAACCACAATTAATGGCAAAATGATAGTACTCAATTCCTTCTCTCATTTAATACATGACACTTTATCTTGACTGTCAGTATCCTGATTCCCTGTCAGTTGGTTTGGAAATGAAGTTGTACCTCATCATGTGTTGAGTGGCCTAGAGCAGCTTTTATTTGCTTGATCTCTTAATAATAATGGCCATCTCTTTTAATTTGAACTGGTGAACTGTACTAAAAAACTTTGAAGTCTAATTACTTTGAATGTCACACAATATATTGCAGAAGAGTTTCCACTATTTTTACACAGTGCCATACAGTTTATTTCTATTTGTAAGTGTATAATAGTGCCATTGTTTTATAACAGGTTAATGTGTATTAAAATATAAAAAATATTCAGTACTATAAGCACTTTACTGTTTCATACCTTCTTAAAGTACAAACTAAAAATGGAAAGTTTTAGATAAGTACTTTTAAGAAGCCCTGTGAAAAGTGGTTTGTACAATCCCTGCACAGATGGTGCTGATTTGCTACGTATTTGTAGCTGTAACTATTGCAGAAATAAAATATCCTTAAAGTAATAAATTAGCTCTCCGGGAGCAAAACCTTGGCACAAGAGCTTTACATCCTTCAATTAAGGAGAAAAATAAGTATTTCAATAGCTGTGATATTGACATCACAGAGCCTGCAAGGTAATCATTCTTAACAGCGTAGAATATTTCTGAAGGCTTCCTTGCATGGCTAATTAACTGGCAGTAGGAATGTGTAATTTTTTCATGATCCTCTGATCATCACCTCACATTCATGAAACAATTACAGTATGTTTTGGTGGAGCAGTTGGCTTTTAAACCCATTGTTACCCTGTTTACTTATTTCAGAAGATGTAAAATATTTTCTACATGTGTTTTAAAGAAATATTTCCTTTTATTTAAAAAAAATCAGTCCACCATATTTTATACATCTTTGGTTGTGACAGTATATTAAGTATTAACTTCATTTATGCTAAAGACTGATGATGAGGGTCAGGGCTTTGAGATGCTCTGTAGATCCAGGTGCTCCATATAATTAGCTTGTCAGACAAAAGAATTAAGATCTTACTCTTGCCGGTTTTCCATCTTCCAGCAAGTATGCGTCTCAATTCCTGACTTACACCGTTAAGCAAAAAAAATCAAAAGAGAACAAAAGTTGTGAAGACTATCTCAGGACAACTTTCAAAGTACTGTGCTCCATTGCAAAACTTGTTTCATTTTAATTTCTCCAAAACAAGGGCCCATTTTAAAATCCAACATTTATGTTCAAGTGAGAAGAAATATTTTTTCCACACTATTTCAGAGTTTTATCATTTCTTTAAACAAATTAAACTCTGAAGATAATCTTTTAAAAAAATGTAAGAAAAACTAATCTTGTACATTTCTGAAGACAAAGGAGACCAAAGTTGTTCCAAGTTTTGTCTCATTTATGCAAAATCCCTAAACAATTGTGTTTATACTGTAGCATTCACTTCTTCCATGCAGAAGTATTTTTCTGTGTTCACTTTGCACTTCTGCTCTAAAAGATAGCATGAATATCAGGTTTTCTTCAAAACCTCTGACACTGAAGTATATTCACATGCAAACTGTAAACTTTAAGTTTATTTTCCCTGTACCTGACCCCAGAAACATTGTGGCCAAATTTAGTTTGGAGAGATGCCACCTTGAGTTCCTGAAGTGTCATTAATCAGGCTTTTCCCATACACAGGATTCAGGTCAGTGTAAGAGCATATTCTAGCAGAGCTTAGTGTTCTGATGTGCAGTAATTTGGGTTTTTGTCTGTCAGAATTAAACAACCAATGGAAGCTGAGACAGTGTTTTATACTTTAAATTTAAAATAGAGATTAAGTATGATTTTGAAGCAATTGCTGAAACAGATTAAATGCATATTATTTTGCACAAAAATCCTAATAAATGGTAATTACTTTGGCTCATCAATTATTGTGGATTTTTTTAGAGCCTAAACATGCATGAGGTGCAGCTTGGTTTCCTTGTTAATAAATTGAAATAGAATGAACATGGAGCAGTTTAATTTAAGCAGAATTAATATAACTAATGCAAATGATGTATAGAGGGGGGGGGGGCCTGTGGTGAAGTTACCCTTAAATCATAGTTTTTTCCTCCTCAGCAGTTTTTTCAGAAAACTCCCAAGATACAATCTGCAGCTAGAGAAACAAAATCCAAACCAAAATCCCAGGACAATGAAGAAGAACATAGAAGGATTAAAGATTCAACACAAACACCTGCTCGTAAATTGGTGGCAACCCAGAGACATTTGCAGGAGGAGGTAAGTGGATCTACCCACATTGTTACAGAAATATTTTAGTGTGTGAACAACCTTGAACATTTACAGTAAATGTATACAAATGTAAATAATTGTAGTTTAATATGACAAAACACAAGACACGAGCATTTGATTGTTTATTGCTGGATGTTACCAGGTACATTTTTATTGTCACACTGCCATACCTACGTTAAACAACTTGTGGCCATTGACAATGATGATTAAAAATAGAAGGGTTTTAGAATTTCAAACACACTGTCCCATTAAAAAAAGTTGTCTGCAGTTCCTATTTCATTGTTTGATCACTTATTTCATTTCAGGACAAGATGTCTCAGACAAAACAAATAAAAAGAAAAACAACATGCAAAGAAGAAAATGGACAGAGGCCCAGCACTAAACAGTTCAATCATGTACTAATGCAATCTGTACATCAGGGACAACTTTGCCCACCATGCTCTAATTACTTAGCTGTGAATGAATCCACAACACCTAAAGCTGTTAAAATATACAGCGGTGCGATAACTGTACTTTTATGCTTGATTTTCTATGTTTTGTTCCTTCTTTGAAGAAAAGGGAAATGATGCATCGTTTCAGAGACTGAAGCACCTGTCGATACACAGGTCCAGTCAGCATCTGAACAAATCTGCTCTTTACGATTTCTTAGTAGTCATTTTCACTGTAAGTGGCTGTAAAAAAAAAAGAAAAAAAATTGTTTTGTAAACATGCATAACATTTTAATAAATAAAAGTGAGAAACTATTAAGTTTGATTTAGCTTTTTAGAAAACAAGGCTTTCAATACCTTACAACAGTATGGGCACTCTCCAAAGATGATGTTAAAACTCTGTCTACTGGAGGGAAGCCCTCTCAGCCACTGCAAATAGAAAATAAGATGCAATCAATTTATAAACAAACCAAATTCCAGCTCCAGGCTGGCTGGTAATGATTTCTTACCTCATATAGACAGGCTTGATGGAAAGGCTGACCACATCGTGGATCATTGCACACTTGATCTGGTATGGCTGAATCAAGTCGATATGAATAACAAATGCCACACTCCATACTGAAATTCTGTAACGGGCAAGAGTAAACAGAATGCTTTAGGTTCACCTTTGGTCATTGCAATTTCCCCCAAATAAAATTGCAGTCCATGGGCTAAATGCAATATGTTTAACTGATACCAACCCCCCTGGAAAATGGTTGATTATGTAATCACAGTAAAACTGTGAATCATTGTACTTTTACCATCTTTTTCATGTGTAGGTACAATCATCTAAAAATCATATAAAACTCTTGCTGTGGTCTCCAAAACCTGTATGTAGTGACCTTGGTTTGACTTGTTTTTAACTTGTGAGCAGCCACAACTGTATCAGTATCCTTTCTTCTTCATCCTACACAGTACTGGCAAAAGAACATAAGAACCTAAAAAAGGTTAAAACAAGAGCCGACCATCTAGCCTGACCAGTAGTAGCTAAGGACCTCATCCAGTTGTTTCTTCAAACAAGCCAGAGGACCAGCTTCAACATGGTGGGCAGCTTGTTCAATGGGCGCACAGCCCTTTCTGTAAAGAACTGCCTCTTGATCTTGGGTTTAAATGCATCTCCATGCAGTTTCCACGTCGGTCCTCTGCTTTGTGTGTTACATGTTATTTATTTAAGCTTTTTTAGATAAACTTTAAGCACTCCATTAAAAGGATTCCTAGAAAATGTAAACATCCCGTCAACTAAACTTTTACCACTTTAGAATGTCAATTATGCTTATGCATTAATGACCCATAAATGCTAGAAATTAGGAGCCTACCAACTAAAAAAAAAGAGAAAAGTAATGGATCTATGTTAAAACATCTTTTAATATTGCTTAAGATTCAGAAACCTTTGTTATTGTATGCCACATCTCTGTAAACAACCCAATTACAGGAGACACTCAGCTTCCAATTATAAGAAGTGCTATTTTTTATATGGTGTACCTGTACACATGTAAATCTGTTTACAAGATTTAAGGAAAAATTGTACCGCTTTTTGTTGAGATGCAGGTGCAGGGAATTCTATTTCCAAAATGTCCATCAGGTTCTGTAGTACAGTACATTCAGGATTCCTACAAACAAGTGTAATTTAATTCTCTGAACTAAAGATATGTCTACAGAACAGTTACAATACACTATGATAGTCGAAAATCTCATCATTCCCTGAGTAAAGGAAAAGTAAAATGAAGATATAAAAATATAATGGAATTAGAAGTTATGAGATATGAGATTGCTATCACACAATGAAACTAAATTGCCTGTAAAGTCTGGAAACCACAAAACTGCACCTTACTTCTTCTGAAGTAATAGTAAGTTAAAAAACTAATTTCTTTATTTTTGCCTACTTTCACAGTTGTCTTTAAATAAGCATAATATATTTATGCAAAAAAAACTTTATTTCCTCACCATAAATGTATATTGGCATTCAGTTTATTCCTTAATGGGGTTACAACTGTGGAAAAGAAAAACATAATACACCACAAGTTAATGGAGAATACTATACGTTTTGTTTAGCAGAAAACTATTACACTAATGGGTATTTTCCAGTTATGAATGCAGTGGTGATGAGGAAATATAAATTTAACGTCGGTGATCAATTCAAATCTTAAATGTGGCTCTGCTAGCATCCTATGCTATGCAGTAGTATGTGGCCACTGTATATTGTACAGTATGCTGTAGTATGTGGCCACTGTATATTGTACAGTATGCTGTAGTATGCTGGGCATTGTAATTCCCTCTGTGTAACAAACTTCATTGACTAAGATTTTTCACTTACTGTATATGTGATACCAAAAACTTGTTACTGTCTTTCCTAAATTTTCTATCATGATGAGTTATGAATTGGGATGGACTGCATATGTATACTCAAATGTAAAATGTAATAGTATACAAAGTCATGTTTTTTAAAGTGGTCACAGTGCCACGAGAAACAGACATGTTTTGATGGGGGTACTGATTAACAATTTGGATCGTTTCAAAAAAATCTTTTGCACTCCTAAAACCTTTTGCCAACACATTTAAGAAATAACTAAACTGTTAAGAAAAATACTTAATCATGGACTAACCAGATGTTTACAATTACATTTAATCAAATAGAGGTGTTGTAGAGAAATGTCAAATGTAACTTCTTGAAATGAGTAAAATGTTTTCTAAATTAACTTGTAAACTAAACTGTCAAGAAGTTAAAGATGTAACCTTGAGTGCAACATATGGAAGGAAAACGTAGTTTACTTGCTTCTGAAGGATTCTAACATAGAAAGCAGTTATGCTATTTGCCCTTGCAAGGCAATGACATCATTAAATCCTGTGCTTACAACTAATTATGTTATCCTACTGTGAAACAGGACACTTTGCTGCGTTCCTAGTGACCTTACTCACAGATCCTGGTGAGACAGAGCAAGCTACTCCACATAACAAGTAGAGGGGTAGTGGAACATGTGTCAGATACAAACAATGATAACTAATGTAATTACAAAACATTATCTTAGAGATCTGCACTAGATGCAGATCATCACTTTCATCAAAATATATAAAGTAGAATGCTTGAATTGAATATAACCTGTAAAGCATATCTTAAACATGGTGTAAATACTACACAGGTTTTATTTTGATAGCTTAAATGTAGAATTGTAAAAGGAATTCTAGTTTCTTTATGTGAGCGTGTTTTACTCTCATCATTCCCTATCTTGAATTGACATTGTACAGCATACACAGCACAAGGTAAACATATTGTAGCACATCCTCAATATTGTGAAAGACTCACAATTCCAAAATAATGATTATTCTATTCAAGAATAAGTCATTGTGGAGCTGGATAATAGCATTTGTTTGCCAGAAAGTGCAAACTGCATTATTTCTACATAATCTGACCTCAGATTTTGAGGTTCAACTTGTACCATGCCTGGCTACTGAAGTGTGTATTTAATATCAATGAAGAACATTGCTAGGCAACCAATAATATGCTCTTTATGTCAATGTTCACCATGCATGACCTTGGATTTCAAGAAACAATCATACAAGCCTATAGACAAGTGCTTATTCATGCTGAAGCTGATCAGTTTATATATCAAAACTGTATATATGGACAGTTTGTATTTATAGATTCTCTGAACAGAATCAATCTTTCACTGAATAACACAAATATTACTGAAGTTGTCTTCTTGACTTATGACTTTACAAAAACAGATTAATAAGTGTAAAAGGTTTTTCAGCAATGGGACTGATGCTCAGAAGAGTCAACCATGAATATTAAAAAGGTGGCATATAGAAAAATAAAAATACTCAGAAAATAATGCAATCCAGGATGTAAACTCTTAAAATATGTACACAGATGTTAACAATAGAAACTAGTTTCTCATGAGAAAGAGTCATTTATTTAATTTCCTTCAGTTTCCAGTCATTGAGGTTACTGGCTTTTATTCTCTCTCGCTACATGACAGGTCAATTTTAAAACATAAATCTAGCCATAATGCTAGATTTCAACTAAGTGCTATCACAGTCATACAATTTTAAATAAAGACTTTTAGAAAAGATGAGATTACATTGCGTTCATGTTTTTTGTTAATGCCATAGGTGACACTGGCAAATAACTTTAAAAGTAGTTCATTTATGACTAATTTGTAAAAAATTACAGTAAATCAATTTATGTGGCCTTCAATCTAGCTTCTAATATTTAACAGAAGTCACAAGTCAAAATGGCAAAATATACACACTATTTTTCATTAAACAGAAATTTACTACAGAAATGGTTGTCCTAAATGTGATTTATTGTATTTAGCATAAAACAAACAAATATGAAGAGTACAGTATTGTTTCAATAGGTAGGAGGAAAACACTTAATTCTAATCAAGTCCATGCTGAGCAATACAAACAAAAGAAATGGGCTTAAGGGGAGTGACTAAGTCTGACTGTCTGTTTTAGCTAGTGACAATTCATAAATAAAATTGGTTTAGAGAAATATAAACACATTTATATGGTTTTATAACATCCAAGATAAAACCTGTTCCGTACCTTCTCACAAAGTATATACAATTATATACATTTATTTTGATATAAATTGCATATCAATGTACAGTATGCAACATTAAAATGTGTCTTTGAGATCAAGCGAATATTGTGTTGAATTGTATCCAAACTATTAGCTGTTATTTGTTAAATCATTAAATATTGTATATATTAATGTACTATCAATTCATACATACCATGGTCAGCTCCAAGAAAACAACATTCAGGTAGCATTTTAGGATGTCTTGGGTCTACCTCAATATTCACAGATACATTGTTTCCTATGGAAATATTGAATAAGTCAGAACAGAATACAATACAGTACAGGTGTAAGCTCAACGGTCCCAAGTCTTTTCCCAAATGAGGACTGTCCAGATTTGTTCCCAAACGTTGCACAATTTCCCTTTTTAAAACAATGTTTATGTCTTCACATTAATTACAGTAAACTTACAAATAAGTAATATCCAGGAGGCTCTTAATTAAAATATTTAATGGAATGTTACCGTTGCTGCATTTCAGAGGTTTGAAAAAAATATCAACTTTACAATTCACAAAGAAATGCAAAACAACTGTTTTCAAGTCCATCAAATAATGAATATGGTTAAGTGTAGCAAATTAACTGCTTCATGCCATCTTTCAAAGATCGCGGCTGGTTGGATTCCAGTTCCATGTCTGGATTTCAGGTAGTGGATTGGTTTGGATGTCATCAAAGCTTCATTACCAAGTATAGTATGTCGCAACACACAATATCTTGGGTCTCGGTGAAATGGTTCAAATCTGAATATATACTGTATAAGATATTTCCCCAAAGTCATAGACACTACTGTTATTTCCACTATGCTCATTTTCTTAATATTCCATGTTTAGATTTTTGATTTTGTCACTCAAAGGAATCTAAAACTCTAAATTCCTGTCCACTGATCTAGCTTGAACGTCAAAAGAACAAAACACAGATCCCAAAAATATCCTTTATTTTGAATGCTTTTCATACACAAAAATATTTTGCAAAGTATTTTCACATTAATTTAATTGATTCAATTTGTTTACTGCAAAATAATAAACTAAATGGAAATTAATTTTAATTATGTACCAAGGTAGTTTTGGGGGTTTATTTTTCTGCATTAACTATGGCTATTGTACAACTGACTGTTATCTGGTAGATGGCAGCAGTTATAATTAGCAATCATTTGCCAGTCAGACAGCTGTCAGACACAATTAATGTTTTTGAGATGGTGGTTAGTATGTCTAACCCCTTCACCTGGGATTAAGGCTATCGTACAGTATGTGTTCATCTTGGGGGAAATAATAAGCATGCTAACACAAGCGAGAAACATTTACCATTACAATAAAATTGTCATTCTTAATTATTGTAGTTTGTCACGTTTTTCAACCAGTTTGCAACCTTGGCTAAAGGTTTCCCAGCACCTGGCAACAGACCATAGGCCTGTGTTTTGGGAGATACATTACACATTTACACATGATTCCTTAAATAATTCACCACCTTTCAAAACTGAGTTACATACTGTACATAATACTTAATAAGCTTTTCAAAGCTTTATACATAAAGTACTGTATACTAAATATCTGAAATAAAGATATTTTTTCCAAAACAAAACTAATGCAAGGCCTATAACATTCAAAACATTTAGATGTCAGATACGATCAATGAGTCAGTTTCGCTTTCATACAGTACTTGTCATAAACCTTTTGCTCTTTTTATGGCAAAAGGCACATGGTTGAACCACTTGGTGATATCGAGGAAAATTATCCTCTCCAGGAGAACCTTTTTTACATTTTCAATGTGGAGAGCCATGGTCAGTGGAAACTAATCTGCTCAAGATCAAAAATCAGAAGTGTATTTGGTAACAGAAATGTTATCATTATGCCACTACCTTCACAATTTAAGAGCACTGTCCTGCTGAAAAAATCTGGATCTCTAGCCAGATAAAGAATGGTTACCCTGACATGCAAAATTAGACTCCAAGCCCTGAAGCATACAGTATGTGTTGAACAGTTGTGCCTCTCCAACTGTCAGTTCTCTGTACTTGGGCCTGTTCTATAAATGACTGGAGAGTCTCAATAACAAACATGTTTATAATCTTTTATTATGCGAGTGTAAGGATGCATAGACTAAGATTCCAAACATACTTCAAATGACAGATGACTTGATTTGTAAAGCTCTCCACATGCTGAATCTCATCAAGATTTGAAAACACGCTTTAGTTTGTTTCTAAACTCCCTTAAAATGAGCAGCTTTATTGATTTAAAAAGTGCACCAAAGGTTTCAATATTGTTATGTACATACCTGGGACTAACAGAAGTACGTTTACTTCATGTCGTGATATAAACACTGCAACTTTAATACTGGTAAGTGAAGAATCACTTACAAGCCATACTGACTACATTATGCTACTGTATCTAGACTGCTATTGAGATCATGTCATTTTTTTTCTATTATGTTTTGGCTTTCATAGTTTATTTGCATAATTGCATGGTAATAATCCAGTTGGAAATTTCATATTCCATTAAACAAATAAAACAACATTCCTCAGTTTTGGGGCATAGTTATGGAAAACAGTTAGAAACCTAAAAAATGTAAATGGACATCCATCGTGTTTCCAGCGGTTCTATAACATCTCAACAAGCCTGAACAAAATCGAAGTTTTTAAAAAAAAATATTTCTGCATCGAGCATCAAAAGAAATAGCATAAAAAACAAATGAATAAATTAGAAATACATTTTTGTGCCATCATCACAAAAGTGACAATCTATTTTGTAGCAGGTGCACTGGCATTTTATTAAACAGAAATGACAAATTCATTATGCTGATTAATCTTGTCATCAACAGTGGGTCTACTGTGATGGTTGCACATACATTAGTAGTGTGTGAGGCAACTGTTAGTAGCAATACAAGCTGCATTATCTGCAACATGCAAAGCTGAACATTGCAAATTCTGTCATTTAGGATTCTGCCCCCTTCCTCTCATAAAGTGTTTGTTCACTGATCTCTAGATGCTACACTCTGTCCCCAGCAAATACCGTAGATATTCTGTGGAGCTCACGTCTAGTGAACAGGGCTTCCACATCATAATGCAAGTTTTCATCTCCCTGGAAAGCTTTTTATTCAAGCAGATAAGGACATGTGCCATCCTGCTGTAATAATGTCAAGTCAGTGAGGTCACAGGACGTGACCAAAGCAGTGCCATGCAGTGAGGTTGTCATCAATCAATACAAGGGGATTTCTGTAGAGACTAACAGTTGTGTCCATTGATCGGTCAGTTGTTGTACACTAATTGCTATATATCATTCAGCACGTCTGTGCCACACTGTCCGACACCCATCAGGTATCTAGCGATGAATCAAGGTTTTGTGTAAAGAAGACTCGACTCCACTGCTGGCGAGTCTTCCAGAGGTGACTTTGTCTAGCTTTCAACATACCAATACAAAGAGTGTTGTTTGGATAAGTAGGGCATATTAGCTTAATTGTTTTTCTACATTGATTTATATCTGGCTTGACAATTAACTGGATAAATCACCATATCACCTGTGCCTAAACAACTCTCTCACTGAGGTGATTTAGCATCTATTGCAGCATGTCACTCATGTGTATCACGATCAGTCATAAATGATTAATTAACATGACACCAAAAACATTTCATCAATATACAAAATCTGAATGCTTTATGTATGTTTTTTTAGAAAATACTTATTTTTTCAATTTAATCACTTCCTCAATCTGCATTACAGAAATACAGTTCATGTAATCTGTCTGTTGTTGCAGATACACATTCGTGATAAACACAATATAGCTTGTGTTGAAATTGGTAACTATTCGAATATCATCTGCACCACATCAACCAAACCACCCCAAGGTTTCATAAAAGCCTTAATATACTACACTTGTGCTTTTGCCAACCAAATAGCTTTTGGTATCACTCCGGTTTTCTGAACTTCGTAACGGCTATTACTAATACAGAACAAAATACACATAAAAATATCTACACTTACCTATTGCAATTCGTCGCATTGTAGCACTCCTTGTTGGATTCTCAGGCTCCAGAACCCAGGTCTTCTCATCAATTTCATCCAGCACATCCCAAAACTCCTTTAATGACTCCAAAACTGCCAGAAATTGGCTATGAATGTTTGGAAGGGAGCTCTGCGAATGAATGAAGAGTTGAAAGTGAGCACTGTATGTGAAATGGCATTCTACCTACTGCAACAGTCTACATTTACTTTTCTAACAATTTCAAAATTTCAGAAAAATAAAATTGACAAATTAACTGCAAAATGCAGAGAAAAAGACATTAACAGGTAAACCAAGTATGCCATCTCCTTTCAGGTTTCAGTTTTTTTCATTAATAGAACTTCTGGTCATGCAAACACTGACATTTACAAACTATCATCTTCAAGGCAAAAATTATACAACATGCCTTGTGATACAGTCTTCAGTAGACTTCAGTATTCAGTATAATACGAAAATTGTCTCATGAAAAACTAAACATACTCAGGTGTTTATACCACTGATTTAATGTTAAAATAGAACATAATTGCTAGTACCTTCTGAAAAATGTTCATACTACTGACACGTTCTGAAATGGAGGTATTTTCTAAGCAGCTTGTAAAAATAATATTGCCAACTTATATTTTCAAAACGTGATAACATTTGGTCTTTATACCAATACGTAATTGTTTGGCCATAAGATCTAATTACACAAGTTTCAGTAAACTACTTTTCTATATACAGTATAAAAGGTTAAGATGGCAGAGCACTGGTTACAGAATATACATATGAATAATTACATCAATTTGAGAAATAACATGTCTAAACTGCACGTCTTCACTGCAGTCTCCAAAATCCTACTCCAGCCATTCATATTATTATCTGATGAAAATATAATATCGTTTACAGAAAAACAGCTGGTAACTGACTCCTGAATTAGCTCAAAGTGGTTAACAGTGTCCATCTGTGTATGATTGTCAGTTTCACATTGGCATTTATCTGCTTTCTGTTTAGCTTGGCGGATCTATGTTTATTACCACACAATATTTTTCAAGTATAACTGCACCTCCAAATTTTAATTATAGTCAGTGATATTAAAAGGCATGGATAACAGCATTTTAATACAACAGCAGAGTTACATGTAAAGACATTCAATGGTAGATTAGTAGTTCAGGTGGGTAGCTGCGTCAGCATGCGTAGGCTGCAAAGGAACAAGTAATAGGTTTATTCCATGCTGAAAAAAAGAAGAAAGA